TAGCATCAGCCTAATTCTTTTGTCTCTTCAACTTGCCCATATTTATCATCTACTAAAGAAGGGCAAACAGAAACTGAAGCCAAAATACTGCAGTGTGGCCCATAAAATAATCAATTCATTTGACACTTTCATCATCCACAAAAATAGCTTTCAAATAATTTTTTGGGGGGAGTGGGCAGGGAGTTAGAGATACAACTCAAAAACACTTGTCCAACACATACAATGGCCCATGTTTCAGCACTACAAATCAAAAGTAAACTGATCGAACAAAAGAAATGTGTTTCCAGAAATAATTATGGTACTACAATTATTTAGAACTTTTTGAAGTAATAATAAGTTCCTCCTTTTTCTACATCCACACCTGTGTAAGCTTTCTGAGACTCAGACGCTGAGTTCTTGGTTCTCTGCAATTTCTTTGCTCATAGACTCACAGTAAGACAGTAAGACATCCTCTAAGAGAAAAATGACCTCTGAATAGAAAACATCTTTTTTTTTTTTTTAAGTTTTGAGACAGGGTTTCTCTGTATAGCCCTGGCTGTCCTGAACTCACTCTGTAGACCAGGCTGGCCTTGAACTCAGAAATCCGCCTGCCTCTGCCTCCCAAGTGCTGGGATTAAAGGCGTGCACCACCACTGCCCAGTGAAAACATACATATCTCTTCAGCCTTAAACTTTCAATGTCTCTCCATGGCTTCAAGAGACTTATCAGGAACACAATTTAACCTGGTGTAGATTTTACTCTCCATTGCCTTAGCTCCTTGTTCTGTTTTGGTTTGGTTTGCTTGTTTGTTATTGTTGTTTTTATCTTAAATAATTTTCATTTAGTATGTTACTAGAAAACATGCAATTCAAATAAGCCAAGATAGTCTTCACAATATAATAAAGCATAAAATATTTATTTTTACATTATTTATCTTCCCACCAAGTAACAGTATTTGATGACTGTAGGCATATTAAGCAAATATAGTACTACTAAGTTATCAATTAATTCACAGAGAAAAAAAGAAACGTCTAATAACTAAGCTGGCTCAGACTTGTGTTAGAAAAATAAACAGCCATCTGTACCTGCTTGCTCTAAGTACTTGAAAGGAATCTGGGTACCATCAGTAAAAATATTCTCCTTAACTTTGGATAATTCTGAATTTGATATAATTCAGCTAGAGTGCCCAAGTAGTTTCCTTCAGATTTTAACTGCATTTCAAGAAGAAAAAAATATGACAAAGAAAGAATCTTATGCATTGTAATACATAATTATTCTAGTATATATCCAGTAAGTATCAACCATTTTAGTATTTCCCTTTTGGAACTCCTGTTATTAGTATATTCCTGTTTATAGAGTCTACTTCCTTCTTCATTCAAAAAAAATCGTAATTATTTAGGAAATACTAAAGGGCTAAAGTCAACTATAGCAAGAAAGGAGAGCTGGCATGACAGAAGTTAAAAAAAAATCAATGATGAGGTGACGCGAGTGTAGCTTAATGTTAGAGTACATGCCTAGTAAACACAAGGCCGTGGGCTTATCTCTAACACCACTGGAGGAAAAATATTAGTAACAGCCAGACAAGGTGGCACATGCCTTTAATGCTAGCACCATGGATGCACAACAGAATGGATAAGTCAGTGTCACCTGGGGCTACATATGGAGATCATGTTTCAAAAGAAAAAAAAAGTCAATGATGGGAGAAGGAAATAACCAATTAAGGTTTAACAGTGTTGGTGGTAAATTTTTATAGTAAAAATGCAAACCAAATTACAAGTAGAATATTATCGATACACATTCAGAGCAGGTCTGAGTCTATATTTCAATCAATTTCTTGAGTATAATAAATTATATAGTTTTATATCCTAAAAATGTTTGTCCATAATTAATACTCATAATATCAACAAATGTCTATTAAGGTAAAAGAGTGTTTGGTTACATGAGCTATGTGAGTCACAAGATAACCAGAAAATATTTCTGTGAACGGAATGGCAGAAATAATTTCCAAAAAAAAATAATTATCACAATTGTGAGAGGTGATGGTCCACTTTCTAAAACAAGTGAAACTGTATGAGGACTGTGGAGTGCACTGTTGTTCTTTGTGCTTTATTCATTTTGTAAATATTTCATATGTAAGCAATATCTATAAAACAATGGTTTAAGTGCTAAGAAAAATATGAGCAGCATTTGTTTGGAAGAGTTAATTATTCAAAAGATCCAATCCATTTTTGCTAATCACATTAAACAGAGATCATAAAATTAAGTATGCAGGAAAAATAATTTCTTCTTGATTTTTCAAATAAACTGAGCAATAAAAGTTTACTGGTACTTTAAAAAAAAAAAAAGATACCATGAGGTATATGTGTGTGTTTATCAAACTACCTGATGTAACTTTTTACCTCTAAAGATCACCTCAAAAAAAACATGACTACGAATATGTCTTTAATCACATAAAAAGTCCTGAATAATTGCTTATAATCACATAAAAAGAATTTAAAAGCAAATTCCTAAAAAGAAATGTTTCACTATAAGTACTCTTTGTATATGTGTAGACCATTTATCCTCAACTATAGTATTTGCTTTATGGTGGATGTGTGCATTTTAAGCACAGTATGCCTTGTCAATACTACTGTGAGAGGACAATCCAGAATAGTGATGGACAGTCTGGAGCCAAAGTTTCTAAATTGAAACAGCATTTCCAATTCTCAGCTACAGAATCTTTGGCAAATTGATCTGTTTCCATTTCTCCTGGGTAAAATGGAAATAATAATATACACCTCGTAGGATGTTGTAACTGTATAAACAATGAACAAGACTGGCACAAAGCGTGTGCTGTATAAACGTAACCTATTACTACCAGAATAGAATCCCATGTTCTTGAACATACTGTAAACATTTTTAGCAACCTGAATGAACTAATATCAGATACTATTTAAAAGGGACATCAAATCTAATATCTGGTTAACACATGTTCCTAGCTATGCATTTTAAAGTAAACAAGTGATTAATAAATCTACACAGCCACTCCAATGATAAAGAACAATCTGAAAAGACTGTTTCCCAAAAGTTGCAGCTATCAATTTCTTCCCTTACACAAGGGGGCAGTGATAACAAGAAAAGAACAGGATTCTGCAACACCTCTTCCTACAGACAGTAGGGGGTGGCAGTACATATGACTTACAGTCAGAACAAAACAGGAAGACCCAACAGAACTGCTCTTTATTCTCTTCTGGTACTCGTCTCTCTTTAGCCTCAACAGAGCCTCAAGGTAAGGGAAATATCTACAGAAAAGACTAAAGTTGAAAATTAATCAAGGAAAATCCAATTTTGTTTTTGAAGGAAATGATCTCTCAATGAATGAGTCTGGAACCAGGGCGAAGCCAATCAGTATGAATTTTCAGATTATCTGGCAAATTACGATAATAAGAACAACATTCACACAGGCAATTCAATTTATAAGAATTCCAACATAACACACTAAAATGTCATCAATAATTAAATACATCATAGTGAACACATCAGATATTTCTGCTTTTGTTTCATTTACACAGATACTCAACGAATACACATTATTTTACATAGCTCATCTAGCTGTCTTTTGTTACTTTTGAAATTACAGTATGTTCTGACAATTCTTTCAAAACACAGATGTTCTTAGATGGAAGTCACAACGTTTTGCAGCATCACACACACACACACACACACACACACACACTTAGAAAGATGGGGTTGAAGGAAGAAGGAAGAGAGATAAGGAACAGTTGTTTCATTTGTTTCTGGTTTTTGCTCACATCCCTAAGACGATTTACCTGGTAAATGCTACAAGGAACACTACATTGACAGTATCCATGTTGTTTCATTTTATGCTAATTTACTGTATAGCTTTTTTTATCTTATCTCACCATCCCATCTCAACAGCTAAAAACATACCAGAATATTCCACTATTGCCAGGCTCTGTAATTAGCCACTGCCATAGCTTTTGGCTCCAACCTTTCAAAATGCCTGAAAATTTATCCCTTTTGTTCACCATATTTTTTTGTTTTCCTTGTTCCACTTATTTTCACCTGTGTAAAAGCCAAGGCAGGGACACAGATGAAAAATCGTTCCCTTTTCCTAACGATCCTGAACACACAATTACTGTCAGGATGCTTGGCTTGTTTGTCTTTTTTTTTTTGTGGGTTTTTTGTTTTCCTGGAGAGGAGCAGAAGAGAAAGGGAAAGACATCCAGTCTTTTCCTAATGCTAATGATCACTGTTTATGTTTTCTGGAAAACATTTTAAAACATTCCACACCTGGAACAGAGAGCCAGGCTACAATTGCATGGGTGCTCTACATGCTGATGACAAAACCTGAAATGATTTTATCCCTATTTTTTTCTTTCCCACCTCACAACCAATCTGCTGTGGGTTTTTTTTGGGTTTTTTGGTTTTTGTTTTTTTTTTCTTTCACGTGGGTACTTTCCCTATGTCAAAAATCGCAGGTCCTCTCTCTCTCCTACGACAGAATATGTAGCAATGAGCCCCATTAGTCTTTTATTATAGTACACCTCCTTCCCCAAAGGAATTATTCATATTCCTAATAACACTTCTACCATGCATTTCTACGCCACAGAGGCCAGCCCATCCTGTGCCTTTACCTGGCACATTTCACAACTACTTTCATGCTGCATTCAGGGACACATTTTGCAACTCGTTCTGCACCACATTCCCTGCCACGTTTAGCAATCTGCCTCGCATCTCATCCCGGTTCCCGTCATCCAAAGACCCTCCAGGTAGCAAATACCAAGACTAACCTCGGTGACAGTCAAGTAGCAGACCCCGGAGCCCTCCGAAGCCGCCCTCGGTCCCACCTTCGGAGGCAGCCTGCCTTCCCTACGCCTTCGACCAGAGGCACTTCACCGCCCGTTTCCCTGTCTCCCCGCTCGTCTCAGCCCCAACCCCCCGCAGCTGAGGCGTCGCAAGCGAACGCCCCTGTCACCTCACCCTCACCGACCCTTCTTCCCTGCTCCCCCAGCCCTTACCTGCCGCTCTGAGGGGCGCGGCGCACCTCGGGGTCAAGCCCGCGTGCCGGTGGTCTCCGGTGAGGACCTCGCCGCCCGCGGACGCCCCACGGAGGATCCGCGCCTCAGTCGGGCTCGGCGGGGCCTCGCGGCCGGCGAGCGCTGGCAGCCCGCGGCGGTCCTCCTGTCAGCGGCGGCGCGGGGACAGGCTCGCCCCTCAGCACCGCGGCGGCGGCGGGCGCCTCGCTCCGCCTCGCGCGCGGCACAGCCCGGAGGTGAGCGCGAGGGGGATGGGAACGGGGGCGGGGCCGCCCGAGGAGGCGCGAGGGGCGGCGGAGGGAGCGCGGCGCCTGCCG